AATATTTAGATGACTCATTGATTTTAAAGGTCCCATGTCATGCTTTTCCGGTTATTACCCATCCCCTTGTGTGTTATGTAGCTTTTTATGCTTGTAAACGGTCTGCAGAGTCACAAACCCTCAAAGTACACCCTGTAGCGAGTAAAACTCTAACACAGAAAAGATCTGTCTGTGCTGCCCCAGAACGCCTCATTGGAGATTTGTCTTTTTCAATTTTTTTCTTCTTGGGTCATAGTGACCTAACGGCGCGGACTTCCACACACACACACACACACACACACTCACACAGTCTTATCTTTTCTCAGCCGCAGCTCCGCGGATTTCTCAGCCTGAACTCAGCCTGAGCACACACACACACACACAAACTCACAGCCAGGCTGAGTTCAGGCTGAGTTTCGCTGTGTCTCGATGTCTCGCAGACCCCATGCAGCAGCCAGGAAACAACACCAGTAATCCAGCTCACACTGTCCGCTCCTCGAGCCCCAAAGGGCGGAGCAGCGAGCCCCACAACGTCCCGCCAACACGGCACCCAGACCCCACACAGCATTCTCATCTGTTTGTCATTACTGGTGTCATTTTCTGGTTGCTAACAAACGCCATTGTAACACATAATCACTGATGTTCCGCTGTAACGGTGGTGGACTCATCAGAACAGAGTGGGCGAGCTGACCAATCAGAGCACACTGGGCTCATACGGAGGGGGGGGGGGCAGGAGCTCCAACAAGCCGTTTAGGACAGAGAGTGAATACACATGCTATACAGAGATGCTGTATGAGAAAACCAATGTGATTTTGGAACATTGAACAATGTAAATCTATTCTAGTAGACCTCAACAATGGGAATATGATCAGTTTTGTTTTTTTCATCGTTTATTTAGCAGGGACAATGCACAGTAATGAACACTTAAAACATTAAAATGTGTCAAGCGTAACAGTGCCAGATTTAGCTTTGAGCTAATTTCCATCACATAAAACATTTAAGAAGATTACATTTTTCAAACATAGCAAAAACAAAATACATGATATGCAAAATGTAAATGGGGTAAGCATTGCTTTCACCTCCATGTTGTGCTTTTTTTATGTAAAACTGTGGGCTGCACTATATTGAGAAAAACTGAAGTTGCAACATGTTTTTATTTTGTGAGTATATTGGTTTATGAAAAGATAAACCAGCACAGAGGTACTGGTGGGAAATGTTTTTAAATGTTCAGTATTTGTCCCTGTGTGTCTCCCAGGAGGACTTGTTCCAGACGCCAGGCCTGCAAGAGGAGCTGCAGAGCATCATCGACTGTCTGGACACGAGCATCCCAGAATCCATCTGTATCCTTCTTTGTAAAGCCGGGCCCACAGACCCAGTCCTGCAAACACTGCAATGCCAAACAAAACAGAAGATAAAAGAGCAGCTACTTTCATACAAAACAATAACAAAAAACGGATGACTATAATTATTTCACCCAGCTTCTTCTGGTTAGATTCCTACATTAAGGCGGTTTTTCGCTGCTTCGAATACATTATTAATGTTTATTATCAGTGTTTCTCTGAAGCTGTTTCACAGTTACTTAGGTTCCAGGCAACCAATGACTAAAATCCTTCACTCGTATAAAATGTATAGTAGTATTATAGCCAAAACAACCAGGATCTAAAATGTATATCGGAACAATGTGGCTTAAAGTTTAAAACACATTTTATAAAAAAAGTCAATTTCTGAATGCCTCTGACAGACAACGTGCAAATGAAATGGATTAACTTGATTAAAAGGACAAATTCCTCTCTAGGTTAGAAAAGATATGGAATCATTTGATATAATGTCAGAACACAAGTCGAGAATAACATAGGTCTAGTGTCGTTTAAACATTTTAATACGGAAAAGATGCATATTAAACCTGTAACTCATGGACGAGGATGGGCTAGCATTATTAGCATTACCATGAGGATAAAAAGGAGCTTGTTGTTCCCTGACTGTTGAAGTAGCCGGCTGTAACCACTCTGTAGCCGAGGCTCTGCTGATCTTCTTGGAGGCCTTGCCGGAGCCGGTGGTTTGTTACGAACTCTACCAGCGGTGCCTCGACTGCTCTCATGACAGCCGCCTCTGCAAACAGGTGCAGTGTTTAGGAAATGTTTTAGCTTTGCATTATCCCAGGATTTGTCAGTAATGTGTTCGACTAATCTTTTTTTGACATTTGACAGTTGATCTCCCAGTTGCCCCGCGCTCACCGCAACGTGTTCCGATACTTAATGGCCTTCCTGAAGGAACTCCTCAAACACTCGCACAACAACAACCTGACTGCCAGCCTCATAGGTATGAAACCTCCTCAACATTCTTTTATATTTTCAGAGAGATTATTTCTCTGAGTTGGTGCAGCTACTGTCTGTCTCTAAAAGTTTTCAAAGAGACCGTGGGATTGTTAGCAGCTTTGATCTGCAGATCTGAGGGTGTAGCTGTACTGTATGAGAATAGAGTTCTGTAATATAGCTCAAAGACAGACCATTCAGGGTTTTAAGTGCAAGCAGAATAATTATGTAGGAAATGAAATACTTAACTTTTTAAACATTTAATTAAGAGTCTGGCTGCTTTTAAAGGTATTGTGTGCACATTACATTCATGGCAGCCTTTCTGCTAAATAACTTTACCACAAGGCTAAGTGCTGGTTGTACAGATCAGTTAAAATTGTTCAATATTTCTGGCTTTAAAGTAAAATAAGTTGTGTCTTCGTCCTCTTGTATTTTAGCTACACTCTTTGCCAGCCTCCTCATCCGACCCCCTCCCAACCTGATGGGCAGGCAGACGCCACACGAGCGGCAGAAAACCGTCGACTTCATCCTGGGGTTCCTCATGGCTGCAGACGAGGAGTAACCAAGGACAAAGGTACCTCACAACAACAGTCAGGTGTGGAGGAAATCCCTCTCCTGACCTGCTGTTGGCTATGGACCTGCTGGACGCTGTGTAACGTGATCCACGTGCTACATTATCATCTATTGGAGACCAGTGCAGAGGTTTTGCAACCCGTTTCACAAACTCTCATGTCAGAGGAACTCGAGACCAAGTGTCCGATCTTCAGTTTGTTCACAGTGTGACAGCTCAGTGGATTCGTTAGTACTTGTGCGAGGTTTGAACTGTTGCCTCTGCACTTTGTGAACACCTCAGCTGTCCTTAACTGAGACTTCTTACCATGCCAAAACAACCCCTGAACAGTGAGTGGTGTGAATGTGAAAACACTACCTATCCAGAGATGCTAAGCAAAATACTAAATTACACTAAAAGAAAATTCCTGAAGTTTTAAGAAGTAGACTGAATACAATTAATTCAAATAGTTTGAAATGGGATAATTATAGAAAATGTATCGCTAAGAATGTTAAAGCTTTAGATAAATCATGACAATCATCATTTTAACTGAGGGGACAACATTATAGATATCTTCGAGAACTGTTGGTTAACATAATCCTTGTATTTTAACTGTTATTTATATATTTTTTTCCATGTTTGCAACACTTTATGGTTTCTGTGGTTTATTTTCAAGTTCTGCATTCTTTTTAAAAATGCATCGCTTTTTTTTTTAATCATGTCATAGATAACTGTGTCGTGGACGTTTGATGTTGTTTTGTAACTCAAAGCCTGAGCCCTACATCTAGTTTTGCCAGTAGTTGAGTTACAAAACACTCTGTTAACACACTAACTTCCTGGTTAACCGGAATCAAACAAAGAGTCACCCTCTGTGATTCTCGGTGTCTTAAACTGTGTAATACTGATTGTTTCCCTGTCTCATGGGTGTTTGACTGTCCGTATAGTGATGCAAATCTGTAAATGTGTCCTACAGTTTGTCATGAAGGTGGTACTGTTATTGTCTGTGTTTGTTTATGTGTCTATTTCCAAACTTCTGCCTCATCTTAAAGCACATTTTTGTTATTTTAGGCCTGTGCGATGCCAAGATACAGCTGTTGTTCCCCATAGTGAAACCAAATGTGTAATACTCACGGTGCAAGATATAATGACCCATTATTCTACAGGATACAAACTGTTTCATGTGTGCCACTAAGGTCATTTTTGTTTCTGTATTCACTGTTGAAAGACATTTCCTGGTTACTGAAATAAGGAACTTTTATGCTGTGTGTAATAGCCATTTCCTCTTTCATAGTTTTACCCAAGAGATGTCAGCGTTAGTTCTCCTAGTCGACAAAAATATTTACATGTATGACATTTTTCTGTATCTCCTGTAGTGTATACATGTCAGAAAAAAAGCCCAGAGGTTTTCTTCTCAGATGCTTCAGAAGATTTATTGTTTAGAGACAAAGTAACAACACTGATAATCATGTCATGTATAGTCCGGCTGACGTTGCTCATCTCTTGCGTAGTTTTTTTCTGCCTTATTGCCATCAATACACTATTTTCCTCTGATGTTAACATAGCTGAGCTTTGTCACTAAGAGGCTCGGCCTGTACGAATAATTCCCAGTGGTTCAGATTTGGTTCAGATCAGTCATTTTCTATGTATTTATTCACTTTGTTTTTAGAAGAACTATCCTCATTTCAAATCAATATAATCGATAACCTCTGATTTCCTTGTTGTTTTATGCTACTGTTCAAAATGATGTACTGCATCGTGTCTTCAGTTTTTGTCACAATCTGTTCATAAAATTAAGGTACATTTAAAAGGTACATGAGGAAACACTCGCACCTGTTTTCAACTCTTCAGAGTTTTTTTTTATTTATTTAACAGAAATAAAACTGTGTATAAAGCTGTTTTTGTTTTCCATTTACCCCTGCCTTATTATTGACAGCTTGTTATTCAGATGATAAACAAGGTTTTTCAGGAGCTCACTCTTCAGGTACATGTGAAATCTTTACAGGCTGATGTTCGTGGTATATTTAGTCCGCTCAGTGCACGGTGAGAGATCTTCACCTCCACGCTACATTCTCCGTCCCTGCGGTATAAGACCCCCCCGCCCTGGACCTGCTGCCACTTTCTCCCTGTTGTGTTTAGTCCAGTTTGAACCTCACAGAGCCATGGCCATGCTGCGAGTGTCTTCCTACCGAAAGCTGTTCGAGGATGAACGCTGGAGTCGGAATGGAGGGTCGAGTGCGCAGTGTGCGGGGGGGTACCGGGCCTCCGTCAGGTCAGTGAGGGGCTCTGGGTGGAGGGCAGCTTCAGTATTTGTACTGCACTTTACCAATTTAAAAAATATTGATCAATTAGTGACAGTTTTTCTGCTGAGAATATGTCTTATAAGAAGTTGGTTTTTTTTAATCGGAAAAACATTTTGGGGTAACATATCTGAGGGGTTCTGCATGTTCTCCTGAATGTTGATGAAAAATGTATGGGGGGTAAAACATTCTGGTGATCCATTTTCTAAGTTTGATCAAATATGGTCCAAGTATGGAAGTAAAGCTTGTTAAGAACAGGTGAAAAACATCTCACCTGTGTAATGGGTGGGGAAATGTTTTTCTTTTTTTCTTTTACAGCTTTTTCATCTTTGTATAGCTATATTATGTATTTCTTTTTTTGCTTAAAAGTTGAATGTTTTTTTTCTTTTTATTACAATCTACAAAAAGATACAGGAGAGAAAACCATTACGGATGGTCTGAAAGTAGATCACCATTTCTTCTTCTCACTTCCCTCCTAGCTCTACTGTACAAATTCCTTTTGTGCTCATGGAAATAATTACATCAGTCCATGTTAATTTACCGTGACAGGCAGGGCTGGAAGCACTGAAGCATTAACAGAATGAGGCTGCACTGTGGTCAAACACTTACTGTGTTTATACCTTTTCTTTATTAAAGTCATTAACTATCCCTGAAGGTGGACAAATGACCCCCCAGGATCCTTCATTTCTTGTCTTTGGTACTTTGTATCCTCCTCTCAGGGGGGCCTCCATAGATGAGTGTGACTGTGACAACTTAGACTTTGTAGCTGCGAAGGCGCTCAACAAAGAGGGTCTGAGCCGGTTTGTCCAGGACAGAAACGTCATCGGTGCCCTGAACGACCGCCTGGTCCGGGTTATTGAGCTGGTGAGGACAAACTGCTCGAGACACATCAGCACTTTATCTTTCTTCTGCCCCTTGCTAAATGAAGAAGTGAATCTAACTCTTTACATAAAGAATATACCAGTGTAATACATATTTGTAATCCTTTACTTCAGCAAAAGTACTAATACTACACTGTAAAAATGCTTCACAAGTTCAAGTCGTCGTTCAAATCCCTAAGTAAAATATATAGGTTAATATATAATAGAAAGTGAACTGCTGCATTAATGTACACTATATACTGTTTTTTCTGCTGTACATGTTTAAAGGGGCCCTATTATGCTCATTTTCAGGTTCATATTTGCCTCCCTCTGACCTCAACTTTGGGATTTTAACCTTTGAAGACTATTTAAATGCACAAAAACCTACATAACACACACTACAGGAAATGGAAAACCCCCTAAAAGCATTATAGGTGCCCATTAAGGTTGTGCTCATTTTGTATCAAGTACCCCACGTTTGTACTTAAAGGGGACCTATCATGCAAAATGCACTTTTGTACGTCTTTTATACATGAATATGTGTCCCCGGTGTTCCAGGGAACTCACCAAGTGTCAGAAAACACAACCCTCTCTATTTTCCTCCATACCCAAATCTCTAAAAAAGGGGCTGCAACGGATCTGATAAAAACTGATCCAGATTTGAACACTGTCCTGACGTCAGGACGGTGGCGCTACGGCTATTGGGCCAACTCCACCAATCAGGAGGAGACAGCCACGGCCATTGCCGTTCGAAAGCGCTGGAGACGCTGTAGTACATATGCCAGGCCTGTAGATGGTGCTGTTCTCACAGAATCAGCCCTTGCAAAACAGAGCTAGAAATGGTCAAATAGAGCTAAATGAGGCATGGCTAAAATGCATGATCTGTTTGGTATTTTGAAAAAAAAAAAGTATAAATAAGCCTTATATAGGTATGGTCCTACACTATATTATTCAAATATAGCATGATAGGTCCACTTTAAGTACAGTCCTAGAGTAATGCACTTACTTACATTATTTATATATACAGTGTATACCTATAATACCTTAATAATCTGTCTCTGTGCCCTGTAGGCTCATTGTTTTGAGGAGGAGAACGAGTCTCTTGAATGTCAGATAGTTGATCTGGAGGAGCAGCTGAGCAGGCGGCAGGCCTCCAGCAGCTCCTCCTCTGTGGTCCTGCCTCACTTCAGTCTAGATGCTGTGGTGGAGAGGCTGCGCAGGGAGAGGGTAAGTTACTGCTGCTGCTGGGTGTGTCTGTGCATATTTCTCTGTGTGACATTCCTATAATGTTTTTGCACGTCCCATCGCATCCCATCAATTTTACTTCAGTTTGTACAGTGACAGGCGGGGTTGATCTATAACCTTGTCAACATCCATCACTGTCGTCTCTGCGTCTCCCTGCAGGACGAGATCCTGTGTGACACCGAGGAGCGGCAGAAAGAGCTGGAGCGTCTGGTGACAGAGTATGAGAAGGCCGCTCAGCAGAGGAACCTCCTGCAGCAGGACCGGCAAGATGTCGCTGAGGTAAAACATGTTATAATAACATGTTATAATAACAATAAAGGTTAATGTTTTAAAAGGTCCTTATCTTTCTCATACTGCCTGTGCTGCAGCACCTCTTGTCACCCTCTGTCTGAAACTAGAGCTCAGTCTGCTCTGATTGGTTAGCTGGCCAACTCCTGTTGTGATTAGTCAACCGCAAAGAGATGTCCCGCTCCTTAGCCTATCACGTACAATGTCTTGGAGTGCTAGCCAATGGGAGCACGAGTGTTACATAGTGATGTCACTATGTTACAGAAGTAAACAAAGTAGTTTAATGGAGGCGTTTCAGGCAGGGGGGGGGGAGTGTGTGGGAGAGAAACTTTGGGATTTTAGCGTGTGCAGACCATTTACATGCACAAAAACCTTTATAACACACTACAGGAAAGGAAAACCCCAACAATCATAATAGGTCCTCTTTAAAATAACACAAACAATAAAAACAAAACTATGTTTCAATAACCAGGTAAGGGTTACTTTTGGATTTAAAAGCATTTAACAATCAATTCATTATTTTCAAGTCAGCAACATATTCCATGCCAAGGGTGACGAATACACAAATACACTTTTTCCATAAAACATGAACAGTCCTCAGATGCAGATTGTCCTCAGTTTTTTGCATGATAAAGACACAAACAGTTGTATAGTAGAAGCTGAGATACAGTTTTAGTCACCAGTGTGGGTTAAGCTCCAAAAACACTACCCATATGCAACATTTACCCATAATGCAACCACTAGCACCGTTCATTAGACCCCCAGATGCCTGGTAATTACTATGTCTCTAAAACTCATTAAACAAATTGCTGAATGTTAAGTCCATAAGTCTACTTAAATATGTAAATCTTTAATTCCTTTAGTTGTGCTGCACATGCTCAGACCTTTGTTGTGCTGATGTACCTTCAGCACTAGATGGCAGTGTTGTAAAGCCTCCTCCTCCTCCTCCTGGTGAATCAGCTGAAACTCTGCACAGCTGCTGCTCTGTAGCCCAATCAGTGTTGATCACCAGCAGTCATTCAGTCTGGGCTGATGGCCCACTGCAACCTGAGACACCAACTTTTCCACACACACACACACACACACACACACACACACACACACACACCAGAGCCCATCTCCTCCCAGCCAGGCCAGATGCGATGGAGGTTATAATTCCTCCCTTACAGATGTAATGCAGGCTGTAATACGTTGCCGTAATGTTCCTGCTGGCTCAGTTCTCTGGTGCTGAATTGGAAGCAGCTGCATGGTGACAAGAGTTGGTGGGAAATTGTCAGGGAGGTAGAGGAAGAGCATAGATGCGGAGGAGAGGAGCGAGCACTGCACAGCTCAACCCACTCCGAGCTGCAGTCCTCCCAGCATAATGGGAGACTGACAGTGATGAAACACGGCACTTTTGGCTTGTTTTAGAGTCAAATGCCGACTATTGTATCGCTTGTCTCCAGCCAGCTCTACTCCATTTTTATGACCCAAGCTGTTCCATTTTCACTGTCTCAAAGGGATTTTAAACATTTTAGTTCAGTATTGTTTTGCATCCGCAGACTAAGTTGCCACTGATGCACAATTGATGTTTTGCTATGTCACTTGTGTCCTTTATATCCTTAACTATGAAGGATGCTTGACAAAATAACCATCTATCTCCTCTTACATGTTATAGTTACCTGTTTCTATCCTTTTATGTAATCCAAACAATTATCATAGACCTGGTAAAGTGGTTATTTTCTTTCATAATTTATCATTTTAATCAACTCAAATGAAGCATTATCGGTCATCAGCTTAACCTGGTTAGTACCTTTTGGTAGAGTCGGACTCTTCCAGTGGTGAAGGATAATCGTAGGAACAATAATTACGCCAGCCAGTGCTAAACAATGAAGTAGATGAATGAGGAGGCCTGGTGCTCAGTCTGTTTTCATAAAGTATGATGGGAACAGAAAAAAGAAAAAAAATGGGCACGACAAAAGTAAATGTTCTTCACGCACTCTTGGGCAGAACAAGGAGAGAAGTTATATTAAAAGCCTTTATTTAGTCAGGCATATCGGTTGAAACGCCCACCGGTTCACAGGGTCCTCATCAGGGCATAGAACAAACACTGGATTTGGAAATGTTAATGTAACTTAATGATCCTGAAAGTGAGTTTTAACGTTCTTACTGTTGGAGAGCTGGTGAAGTCGTGGATCCTCACACACAGGAAAGCAGCCTCTTTGACGGACAGCTTTTAGCTAAAGCTGCACAGAATGTAACAACAAGTTTCTCCTTAGCTACTGGGAGATTGTTGAACACAGGTAGCAGCAGGACTTCTCTACTTTAGCTTACTGCTGTCCATCAAACACACTGCCACCCTGCCAGCGAGGCTCCACATCTTCTCCACCAAACTCTCCCTGCGTGAGTCTCAAAGTAAATGCACCCACAGTAATTGCCTCCAACACAAATTAATCGGGTGCTTTAAAAAGACTAGATGAGCTGAGAACCCCTACTGGTGGATGGATTGGTGGACTGGGCTTTGTGTCTAGTTAGCCTCCTTCTGATCTTCCTCCTCCTCCTCCTCCTCCCCCTTCCTCTGCATTGCGGTGTCTACTTGCTGTTCAGTGAAACAGGTGGATGTGCTGATAGTTCCTGAAATGGCTGTTCAGGGTGGGAACAAAGACTTTTGTTCTACTTTTCATCAACCTGTGGTGTGATTTACTGCTCAGACTGCAGTGTTCCTCTCAGACACCTCCTGAAATGAAGTTGAACTTTTTTTACTTGCTGCCTGTGTTAATTTGATTTTCTGTGCAGGATGTCGATGCTGTGACAGCAGAGTGTTTGGCGCTGAGGGAGCAAGTGGCTATCTACGAGGAGCAGCTGGCCAACATGGAGGCCCAGCACAAGACGGTGAGGGGGAGAGAGGAAATATAGCCGCAGTGAGATGAAACGGGAATTGTTTATAGTCTTGAAAATGACTTAAAATGTAGCACCTAGGTTAGACAGGGAAGTTGGAGAAATGTCCAGCCCTGTGGTGACAAACACAGCTGGGATGACCTTGATGCAGAGCCAACAAAGCCCCGTCAACAGCAACATATGGAGAGAGGATTAAAATGTGTTATCTAGTGTATCATGCAACGAGGAAACGTTAGGCCATGATTGAATGTGTTTGGCTCATTTCAGTCCTCATACAGTTTTCAGTGCAGAGATAAACAAATGACATTAGTTGTTTTTCAGTGAACTAAAGATGCTGGTAGGTCAATTCTACCTTTGGACAGAGTTTCTCTTTTCTCATTTACAGTTTCCGGCTAAACTAAGACCGATGTCTGCTTGGTGTTAGGACAGAATGTGAAGCACATTTTAGACAGTGCCATTGCACACAAATGAAAGTCATCAGAAAGACAGAAATTGAGGCAAAGATACTAGTAAAATATTAGTTCATGCTAATATTTTTTTTCTGAGTAAAACGTGCAGGTTTTCTAGGGCTTAATGAATCAGCTTCATAATCGAACATGGACAAGATGAAAAGGTTGAGCCCAGTCAGAGAGTTGGGGGTCATCTCCATTTTCCCAGAGTCCTTTGTTATTTACATTAACATTGTTAGAGATTTAGACAAGGGCTCTTTCAAATTGCAAAAAAATAAAAGGAGATGGTTGATTCAAAACAGTTTGTATGGAAGAAATCTGCCAATGTGAAGATAATTTCCTGAAGTAAAAGAAATAAAAAAAAACACATACTGTGTAGGAGTATAACTTAAAGTGGACCTATCATGCTATATTTGAATAATATATTGTAGGGCCATACCTATATAAAACATGTCTGTGAAGTTTTTTTTTCAAAATACCAAACAGATCATGCATTTTAGCCATGCCTCATTTCGCTCTATTTGCTCTTTTCCAGCCCTGTTTTTGCAAGGGCAGATTCTGTGAGAAGTCTTCTTCGCTGCTTTTGTGGCAGACTACAGCGACACTTACAGGCCTGGCATATGTACTACAGCGTCTCCAGCGCTTTCGAGCGGCAATAGAGTGGCGAAGTCACGCCCACTTACTTCCGGGTAATGGGACCTTATTTCGGAAAAATTATGCATTGAAGTCAATGGGGAGAGAAAACTTATCTTTCGATCCCGTTTGAATTGTGCCATGAATTACACATATGATGTTTGTCAATCTTAAAAAATCATTTCCATGTCAAAAAAGTCACAGTTTGTCGTAAAACTGTTGAAATATAAGACTATGAAAAATACGTAACTAGAAAGACTACAAATCCCAGAGTCGCGTAAGTGATGTCACAATTGAGACACTACGATATACGTATAATACCGTATATATACGATCAGCGCCATATAGATAGATTCTATCTATATGGCGCTGGCTAAGATAAGATAACTTTAACAAGATGCCTGTGTGCTTAGTACCAGGTTGTTATTATACCAGCAATGGGTCTTGCTCGTTCTTTCGCTTCCCGTCTGATGAAAGGACCAGGAGTCTCTGGATCAAGCTAGCTAGTAGCTAGCACGTTAGTTAGCATTACAGCCTTGTCATTTTTATTAGCCTTAACATGAAGTAACATTAAGTAACCCACAATGTTAAACAGTAAGAGTAGTAGTCATATTTCGTGAACCCTTTGAATAGTACTGTCACCGGTGTGATCATTCTATAATACACAATTTAAGCCCGGGGGAGAAATGCTAACGCTAACGCTAGCGATCTTCTCTACTTCATGCTATCTGCACAAATGGTTGACATTAAACATTAAAACGACCGGGCAGTTCAGAGAGAATCAAAGGAAGGCAGGCAGGCAGCTTTGCATGACATTCTTCAGGACGTGTTTCATTGTGGTGATAGTGAGTAGTCAATCGTTGTGTTGACAAGACAGTAGTGACGGCCATCTTGGTGACGTGTGTTGTTGACCAGAGATGTAGTTCATTGAGCGTTTCACACAAACAAATGTGTTACTTCACAGTTTTACGACACATTTTTTTTTTTTTGACTTGCAAAATGATCTTTTAAATTGACAAACAACATATGTGTAATTCGTGGCACAATTCAAACGGGATCGAAAGATAATCTTTCTCTCTCCATCGACTTCAATACATCATTTTTCCGAAATAAGGTCCCATGGAGGTCCACCGGAAGGGGAGGGACTTCGCCACTCTATGGCCGTGGCCCAACCCCCCATTCCCCTGATAGGTGGAGAGTTGCCCATATAGGCGGAGCTCCCTGTTTCTGACGTCAGAACAATTTAAAATCTGGATCAGTCTGTATCCGCTCCGTTGCAGCCCCGTTTTTAGAGATTTGGGTATGGAGGAAAAGAGAGAGGGTTGTGTTTTCTGACACTTGGTGAGTTCCCTGACACAACGGGGACACATATTCATGTATAAAAGACGTACAAAAGTGCATTTTGCATGATAGGTCCCCTTTAAGTAGGTTTTAGCTTTAGCTGGCCGATTTAAGGTTTGATCTTGAGAAACATACATAGCTGAGATCCTAAAACCGATTAAAAGCTCTCGTTAATGTCTCAAATTAAGAAGATAGTAAGAACATAGATATACATTTTCATTTCATTTCATTTCAATCTTTATTTCGAACAGATTCAAAAAAATAACAAATAAAAAATAACAAATGTGAAAAACAGAATACCGTATTGTTAAAATACAGTATTTATCCACATTCACGATAATATTTATATATTCAACAAAAAAAGTCTTAATTTTAATAATAATAATAATAATTTTAAAAATAGATATACATGAACACACAAAAAGGCTAGCTCAAAGCTAACATCTGTACAGCTTGTATAGTATGTTGGCTATTTATGTAAAAAAAACCTTCATATTCAACACAAAGATATGAGAGAGACATCTGTCACGCAATCTTGGCTTTAAGGTGAATAGATACAGTACATGTTCCAAAATGTCAACCATGTCCAATGCACATGATTACCTTTATCACATCCACACACACACCCTGCTGCCTCCACCTTCTGCAATGCTCTCCACGTCGCCAGGAGATGACAGACGCGCCCCAGTGTCAGATCTGGAGGCTGCAGGCAGGGAGGGAGGCAGCTGAAGCGGGACCAGCTCCATCACTCTGCGTTTCCCTCTGCAGAGCCCGGCCGCCCGGCGTTTAACACACTCCCTCTGGGACACGCTCGATAACTCGCAGTCCGGGAAATGCAGCTGAATACCAAATGAAAACAGAAGTTCCCTTTGTTTTATTAACTGTTGTTATTATCGCCACTTCCAGATACCCCCTATTCCCCTGACAAATCGGCAGCCATGTCGTTATTTGGGTGGAGGGGAAAGGAGAGAAATGTTAGATTGCCGCTGCAGCTCTGTAACAGTTCATTTTCTCTGTAATGGATGTGGGTTTTTTACTCAAGGGGCTATGTATAATACATGTATGTTGAGGTCTTTCATGTTTGTAAAGGCTTTAAAATGTAGTGCATGTGTTTGTGCATTTGAAGAGGGGGAATGGTACAAAGTACATTTACTAATGTTTTGTATTTAAGTATGATTAAGGGTACCTTCATTTGACTATTTTCCATGTTATACCACTTCGACTGCACTACCATTATGTATTTCAGCTTAAGTTATCAAGATTTTACATAGAAAACATGTTATATGCTAATATAATTGGATGAATTGTTCTTGTCAAAACTATTAAACATATACAATAGATCAAATTAGATCCCCCCCCCAGTCCAACTACAACAGTAGATGGCATGATGTGTATCCAGCGATTGAAGTTTAGCTGACAAAAAAAAGTACTCTCTGTGTGCATGATGTGCATAAACTTCACTTCTGTGTGTTTGTGTGTGTTGCCATGTTGCAGGCGGTGGAGAGCATGCTGGAGCCAGATGAAGGGACGACAGGAGCGATGAGAGCTATTACATTTGGCGTCCCTGACATCACTGCGGCCCTGGATGTGAAGGAGTACTACTGCCAGCTGGCTGAGAGCCTCCAGGTACAACAAAAAATACATAAACATGTCATGAAGGGGAAACCTTTTAATGCCGGATACTTTACAGAAGCATGTCTGTGAACAACCGTCGGATCACAACAAAGTTATTTCTGACTTTAGTTCTCATCATACTATGACCTCAGTCAAACTCATGCACACCAATGGTGGACACACTAACTACATCTTTGGGTTAAAGAAACATCTTGGTAAAATACATTAAATATGGATTTATAAAATGTAACTTTTCAGGTTCAAACTTGTATTTTAAGTCTCTACTAGTTGTTTGCATGCTCTAATGTAAAACAACAAAAAAAACGTTATTTTCTATAGTGTCTGTCTAAATATACCTAGATTCACACAAAACAGAAAATACATGAGAAAAGTCCAAAAAAAGAATACAAACTTGTGTGGCAGAACTTTGTTTTTTCTTCTCTCTTTTCTTCTCCCCATTAATCATCTCGTGACCCCTCAGATTTATCTTGTGACCCTTTGAAGGGGAGGTCGACCCCTAGGTGTGGCAACCACAGGACAAAACGACTTGCCTATAATGAAACACCAGATAAACCTTGAACAAGCAACAGCAAAATGACAGTTGCACCTCGATGCATCAGTATTGATAAACGTATAACTTCATACATTATTACATATCACTGAAAGGGACAAGTACTTTTACATTTCATACTTTATTTCTCATAATTCTGTAATTTTACTTCATTATAAGTTTGAATAACTTTTGTTTGACTTTTTAATTGCTTCTCTTATGTGAGTAAAAAGGATTTGAGCATCTCTTCCACCAGCAGCTGCCATCCTCACCCTGCTACTGACCACCGCTCCCCCCCCCCCCCCCCTCCTCTCCCTCTGACACGCTGCGCTCAGGTCCAGATGTAAATCTCAATTTTCACAAATCACACAACGATACTCCCACTTGTTTTCTTTCCCTCTTAACACAACACCAGGGAAGAACTTGAGAATCAGGGGTTCAGGACTGCACCAGGAACAGCATGCCTTTGTATACCTGTGTGTGTGTGTGTGTTATGTGTGTGTGACGTGCTGCATTGGGGTCAGACTATAGCTCCGGTGGGTCTGACCCCCTCTGGGGCGAGGATGTCTGCCCGGTTCAGAGGTCAGGGCTGTAATCAGACTGCTGGCCGCCTTCCCAGGCTCCTCTGCAGCACTGGAGTGGACGCTGGTGTGTGTTTGTGTCCTTCATTTAGAGGCAGGGTATTCAGCCTATGTATATATTTGTATTTACATATTTGTGTGTCTGTCAAAATTGATGGTTTTTGTTCCCCCATACCCCATCTATTCCCCCTCCCCATGTCTTTCCTCCCGCCAGCTGGACACCGTCCTGTCTGGCCTCGATTATGAAACGCAATTGTCTCGATGCTAAAAATGATTGCTATTGGGTTTTGAACAGTAATGGTGATTGCTGGCTGGCTCCCACACACCTGTGCACCCTCGTGTAGCTTGTTCTGCTGCATTTGTTCCATCTAATCAGCAATGTGCTGGAGAGCTTTAGCCATCAGACGCTCTGAGAGGCTCTGATTGCTCCTTGCTCCCCTGTCAGAGTGCACTTACTGCCCAAAAGAAAGCGCTAACCTCAATGCTCCTGTGCATTTCCAGTCTCAAAATGAAAGGTCAGAAGTTTCACAGCGGCACTCATTCCACTTCTTCTGTCTTTGCAGTTTGAGTGCGGTGCAGCATCCTCTGCTGTGGTTCCCCGTGGTGATGGAAAACAACTGCAAGTGGGAGGAGCTACAGGGTCAACGGTGAAAGACCTGTCAAAGATGAAGGACGTCAGTGAAGTGAAGAAGCTGGTGAGAGGACCAACTGCTTTCTCACTTTTTTCATTCGTTTTTAGAGGGTCTGTTCACGCAGACCACACAAAGTAGTGCTAACATTAAGACACATTTAGGATTTGGTTTGGTTTGACAAGACTCTGAGAATCCACTGCCACGCACACTTTGAAAATATTGTTGTTCACCTCTGAACTGAAGGAATACTTTACACCCAAAATATTATATTGTATATCAATTACTAACCCCTTGTTAGATTGAATCTGAAAACAGTTTTGGTCCAAATGCCTCCATGTTGAACGAAAGATCCAAAGACATTGCCATTTCTTGATAAATGTAAATACATTTTGCATCACAAAAAATTATGTTTTATGTGTTTAATTATAACACCATGTGTATTCTTTATGCTAAGCTATGTAAACCAGCAGTTAGTGCTAGCTGGATTTTTCATTAACAGATATACGAATTAATCGACTCAGCTAGCTCTTGACAAGAAAGTGAATAAGCGATTATCATAAAAATTAGCTGTTTCCGTTCAATTAAAATAGTGCCGAGTAAGAAAATCTGTATTTTTGGGGGTTGAACTGACCCTTTAAGTCTCAGATTGACCCATCATTCAAATGAATGTTGCTGCCTGCTGATTCAGATCTTCCCAGGACACGTTTCCCAGCTCCTTACTGACAGTCTTACAACCCACGACTGGCCATCAGCTCCTAAATCAAACAAAAAGTTTAAAATGAATGGGTTCCCACAGCAGGCGAAGGCAGGGGAGAGCAGCTGAGTGACAGCGGAGCAACAGTGTGGGAGATCCTGCTGACCAGAGTGTTTACTCTGCGGACACTTTCAGCGGGAGATGTGAAGGGCTCGGCTTCAGCTCAGACAGGATTTATTGCCCTCTGTGTCCTCAGTTACTTAAGTACAGTCTTTCAAAGCGCCTGCAGCATCGGAAACGTCTTAAAACTTGACACACACACACACACACACACACTGACAGGAGACTTCCTCTGCAAATGGAAGAGAGAAAATAAACCTTTATCAGATATCTTTCATCATCAGAAAAATAAAGTACGGGAGTTTTGAGTGAAATAGCAAAGTATGGCAAGTGAGATGGACGTAGACGGCAGTCAGTCCTAAAATAAAATACAGAGTTTAATCCCAGATCAAATGTACCTTAAAGGGTTTTCATATTGTTTTTTTATTGTAATGTTACCTGCCCTGTTTCTTGTCTTAAATATGTGTCCATGTCGATGTTGCAAATGAAGCTGCTGTGATGAAAGGAAGAATCTTAAAAAAAGAGACGAAACAGGAAATTATGACTCAGGTAAAATCAGCAGGTGACCCAGAGAAAATTCCTCTTCTTCCTGCACTTTGGTCTCTTTGACATCCATCAGTGGTCAGACCACATCTGTATCAAACATGGCGGTTTGCTTCTCATTACTGCGGCTCTACCTCCAGCTCTTTAAATAAACAGTGAGCCTCTGTAACCACAGCAGAGCTCTCCCGACATCATCTACTTTTCTTTAATATGCAGTGCTCAGTTCTGCTCCATCCAGCCTGACGGATGAACAGCTCGGCCTGATCTGCTCTGTTTCCTCTCTCGCCGCTGATGGATGCCTCGGGTCTGGTTTCTCACTGAGACACAACATGGCCAAACAAACAGATTGCAGTGAAATCAGCCCCGACGCAGAAATGTATATAATGGAGCAGACACTGATGGGCCACTACTGAGGGTAGGAGTAAGTGACTCGCCCAGGTTTAATAGTCATCATCAGGGTCTTCCTCTGCTCACATGATCTCGCTGAAAGACGACCGCCTGGATCCCCATCTGGCTGTGACAGCTAATTGTTGAATTTCTGTGATTGCTGTAATTACTCACGGCAGGACGGCACAGCCTCTGACACAGGAGGGGGTGCAGAAGTAAAGAAACCGGTTTTATCTGTCTAGTACAGGTTGATTTGCATACTTTGGTTTCTTAGAGCCAAATTTAAGTCAGTTTTATGTTACAAAAAGGATAAAATAACTGTGTAATGTGATTGGTCGTTGTGACTAACCCACTAAGAATGATCCCATTTATCCTTTAGGTTATTGTTTGTTATCATATCAAACATCAAACTTATAGTGGGCAAAATGAAAGTCAAAGGATCACAAAGATATTCTGTATTCATCTTCTGGAGATCATGAATTTATGAACCAATTTCATGGCAGTCAATCTTATAGTTGTTCAGATTTTTCAGTCTGAACCAAAAATGTCTGCACTGAATGACTGACAGACATTGCCATCTGTAGAGTAGCACTGCTAAGTCTTTTTAAAAGCTCACATAATCCGACAAAACTAGCAACTAGCTGGCGAATAAAGTGAAATATCATGCAGCTAGAAATCCAGATATACAGTATTTCTCAGTTGTTGGGAAGCTAAATATGGTGGGCAAAAACATGATGGTGACCCTGAAGGGAACATCTCAATGTTATGTTTTTACTGACCATATAACTAAGTAGAAGTCTTTAATTCTGTGTTTCTGTAGATTGCAGAGCTACAAAAGGAGCTCGCTGTGCTTGAGAAGTGTAACGAGGAGCTGGAGGACGAGGTTGAGATGAAGAAGGCTGCGTACATGGACGAGATCGCTGAGTTAGAGGTCTGAGAGTCGACTGATAAAAGACTAATCATAAAATGTGAAGGACCAGTGGTTATGCAGTATATTCATCTCTAATCCCATCATGCTGTGTCTGTGTGTTTCAGGGTACTTTGGATGAAATGCGGCAGCAGGAGGAAGACTTCCAGGTGCAGATGAAGGAGCAGTGTGAGGACTACAAAGAGCTGCTCAGCGAGAAGATGGCCCGAGACATGGAAATAACCGCCTACAGGTCAGACAGTCATGCTGATGTTTTTTGTGTAAAACTGCTGTATAATAACTTGGCTTTTCAGTTTAGAGCGCAATTGATGATTAATGGGAGCTTGGAAGCATACAAATGTACACTATAATGATTGAGTAATTAAACAAAGAGTTTGTTTTACGAAGTGTTTTCCGGTTTTAATTACTTGGTCCGTTTGTTTTGGCGAGGAGAAGACCTCTGAGGATAATTCATCTTTCCGTAAAAATGTCCTGAACAATGAATTAATCCTGAACGAACTTCAGTGAATACTGTAGCTGACTCTGATGACGACAGCGACAACACCACACTCCGTCTTTTGTTATTGTAAGGATTGAGAGACCCCTAGAGGCAATACAATTACATATTGTGCATTTAAAGAAAAATGCATAAGGAACCATAATGTATGAGTACTGACGTAATGCTCAGAGCTTCCATATGTACAGCTCTGATCGTCACAACTCTTATTGCCCTCTTAAAAGAGCTATAGGTTGTTATTACAAACTGAGACCCCTAACATTCAAGAAGGCTTTGTGACAGTGAGGTCTGACTGTTAGTGAGACTGTCGGTCACAGTGTGGCTATGAACCAGCCATGTCTTTCTGGAGAACATGGAGCATTTCCTGCCAACAAAAACACAGCACCAGGTGGTTTCACTGATTAGTTTGTCATGTCCTGTCAAAGGTGTCATAGTCGAATGCTCTACTTTCTGATTGCAATTAAAAAAAAAAGTACTCCATGGCATATATTGTAGATTCCCATCTCTGCTGTAGGGTTCAAATGAAAACCGATGTCCCCTACGGTGCCACGCATTATTTAGACCTGTCGAGAAGAATGAAATGTAGGGGCAAAGCATATTATAACCCTGCGATGATCTCATTAGATTTAAATTAGCTTGATGCTCTGTTTGACTTTCTTTACGTACTGTATGAGTCAATCATGACTCACACGTGAAAAATGACCTGTCCATTGTCCCTGTTTTTTTACACAACATCAACAAGAAGTCTCTGCGTAAGCGTCACTGTGAATAATGCAAGGAGTATTTCCACAAGATCCTGTGTATAGGTCCAATATTATCTCATATGAAGTCACCTGGACATCCGCATTGTCCATAAGAAGATATTTCTGCAAAAACAAAGAGCTGACATTACTGGGGTCACAGGAAGCGGCTTCTGAATATGATGCAGTTTCCTGTATGTGACCTTGACGACGTTTCATGTCCCTCCCGTCTTCCACTGAGGCTGTTTAACCATCTGGTGGTGGTGGTATGTGGACTGACGCAGTTCAACCATGTCATCCTTCTGCCGCGGACTTCCTCCCGGCCCCTCCATCGCAGATCTGACTGCATTTGACCCCCAGGGGGCCCCGCTGTGCTCAGACCCTCACAATGGCTCATTAGAATGGGCAGAGAGGACCTCACACTGTCAGCGCTGAGTGCTGGGCCTACGCCAGCTCTTCTCCACGCCAGCCTGTTAATGTCAGCCTCCCCTTACACACATTTCTAAATTCGCCACAGTTTTAATTCCCTCTCGTTACCCAGCAGACTGTCCCAAAGACTTCTAAGGCTCACAGTCAACACCAACTTTGTTCCCCTTCCCTTTTTTATTTACTGGATGTTTTGTCATCCGTGATTAAAACCATGAATAAGAAATGTTTACTCTCTCCGTGCCGTGGCAAACTGTCTGCACAACAGACCCTAATGACCCCAGGCTGCCATTACCGGGTGGCTTATCGCCTGTGAAAGCATCTTAGAGCAGTTTAGGCAGATGCTCGCTGCTTTTTCTCACTGCTAATGTGAACCATATTACACTGTAATTCATTCTGCTGTACTGCTGCTGCATGACTCAGCAACAAGTAGCTAAACGAAGGACTAAATCCTTTCAAGTAAAGTGAGGTGGATGAGTGCACTGAAGGTCCTATCTTAAAGCTGCTATAATTCTTGAACTAATAGTGAATCAAAGACTTCCGTCAGCGCTCCTACTGCGCTAAATAACATCTTTCACTTCACTGTTTTAGTTTTCTTGACTTCCCTGCTTTGGTTCACTCTCACCTCCCTCAACACCAGCGTTTCCAGATGCAGCCGGCAGCTGTTTTCAGTGAAAGTCCCAAACAACAGACAGAAACAGTTAGCAGATAGCTGGTAAACATAATGGAGCATTTAGTAGCTGAGCTTCTTTTGGTGTTTATTTACAAATAGGTTGATTCATCTTTGCTACTAATATGGATTCATTGGATTCAGGTTACTGAAATGTGAATTTTCAGACATATTTAAACTTTTGAAAATAACCAACAACTTTCAAAACATTCTCAAACAATAGTTTTGTGGCTCAAGTAAATCTGAGGATCCTTTGGGCTCAAAACCTCTTTTAAGACCCATGATCTATGCTTTTGCCGAAGCCATCAGACTCCATTGACAAAAACAGTCATTTCACCTCAGAGAAAACGGGGGGTTGCTGGTCTACCACCGCCTCAATCGGATAATATGTGTTATTGTGTGACTTTGGTGATTCCAAACATATCTTATAAAACAACAAATTCACACAATAACTCGATTTCACAAACCAATCGAGGCAACAACTTCCTAGTTATGCGATCCAACTCTTTGTCAATGGAGCCTGGTAGCTTTGGCAATAGCATAGATACAGTAGCAGCTTCAACTCCCCAATGGAAAGGGTTCAACTTTGAAGCTCAATAAATTACAATGTTCTTTCTCTCTGTTATTGTCTCCCCTTTACTCTATGTGTTAATGTATTCCTCTGGTTTAGGAGTCTGTTGGAAGAAGAGGAGTGCCTGTGTGGCCAGTGACTCGAGAGTCAGACTGGATGCTCCCTCTCACATGGATTAGAAAACAAACCAAAGAGAACCGTGAAACACACACTTGGATGAAGCTTAAGGTACCAACACAGCAATTAAAATAGAACTTATCGCAACAGATTAATGCCGTCTGGAGGCCTGAGCCGGGCGGTGATAACAGGTCGCTGGCAGATGACCTCGAGACTCCAAGAAAGATGGAGCTGTCTAAAAGAGGTGGGAGGATGGGGGCCGGGCGATGAGTGTGTATCCATTCAGTGTCTGTCTGAGATATTTCCTTAAGTGGGTTTTATCTCTACCAGCTCCCTGATATGATTCATAAAAGTGTTGTCTCCTCTTTGAAGAACGATCTCCACACAAACACACACACACAAGTTTAACTGTGCGGCTCCGTGAAGTCATCCCTCCTCTGATACCACCTCGTCCATCACCCAAACTCTGTCTGATTACCGGCTCTTAACCTTTGACCCCTTCACTGTTAACAAACATATCGACAGCTCTACTTTTGGTACTTAAAAGCCTCCGACCTTTCCTTTTGCTTTTACAGTCATGCATTCGTGTTTAGTTTTACTTATAACTGACAGTCAAGTCTTTAGCACACTGTTTGCTTTTCAAATGGTTCATGACGCTTTTTCTGCTTTTACACAAAGAGCACCTGGATGTTTCTACAAGGAAAGCCGGTGTGATTCATTATTCCTCCTTTGAAAATCAATGTCCCAATTTGCTGTCGTTTCAGATATAAGCATCTGCATTCCTCTGTAATCTTTTCCTTATTTTCTACACGACTTTTCAAGCTGTCTGTGATAAATCATTTTTTCTTTACGCTTCTGCCCAAGCGTCAGAATGTGCTTTAGATTTAAATGAAATAAAACCATTTGCTTGAGAGATCACCCCTTACTGTGTGATTTTCTTTTGTGAAAGTCTCTGTTTCATGAGAACTGCTTGTGAATCTTGGGGCTTAAGACTTTCCCCGCACTATAAAACTATACAGAGCGAGATCAGAGTGATTAATGTTCAGTGATCCTTCTTTCATTCATCTTCATGTTCAACGTGAGACTCAAACATTCCCAGCTATTAACCATCTCAAAGGCTTGTTAGGTCTGCCATAAAGATGAAAAATGCTGCTAATAACAGATCAGATAAGATTAGCCACACTCAGTGAACTGGCGGTGATGAGGAGTCGGCCTCTGTAATAATTGAGTTCAGTGTCTGGAAAGAGGGCTGGGAACGGTTGGACACAGTGACTTGTTTAATTGTGCCGACATAAAACATGGCCGGCTCAGGAGGAAGCAGATTTGTCTGTTTTTCTCAGGCCGCAAAGCTCAGTAGAGACCTGAGAGGAGAGGAGGTAGAACATATTGTTTCCCCTCAGTGCTCTTCTTTAAAGAGCAAATGAACCACACAATGTTCCTGATCTCATGAGACGGCTCTGCATCGTCGTAAATATAAAAGTATCTAACATAGGAGAAAATTGGCTTCCTTTTTAGTTGTGTTTTCCCACTTTTGTATTCTTTGCCTCTTGGGGAAAGGTGGTTGACTGCTTTGCAAAACAAGGAAATACACCACAATAATAACACTTTTGACTTTCAGGAAATGCATCATCTATCCTTCTCTTTTAGATGTGCGTCTTTACAGGACAAATCACCTGCATTCAAACAGCTTTGCAAGGGAATACATTATTAATCCAAGTAGCAGGAGTCAACTCTAATAATATCTGTGAAGGGATACGTTTTAAAGGAAAAATATTTTAAGGCAAATTGAGGTTAAGGGAATATAAAAAAAACCCAAGTGCAGACCTCCACCAAGAATGTTTTTAAGTGAAAAATTACGCTTGTATCTTCCTTCTTCACCCATGATTAACCCTTCCACCAAGATTCATCAAATGCTGCCAGTTGTTTTTCTGAAATCCTCATGACAAACCAAACCAAGAACTAAGCCTCCTAAGCAGAGGTAACAATTAATATCCAGAAAAACAACAGACATGTTGTGCTTGTAAAGAGGTTAAAAAAATATAGCAGCATAGATTTACAAGGAAACAAAGCCCCACTAGACGGGTCTGTGAGACTTTATGTGGGCACAGTGCTTGTGCTAAAGGCTAACAAATGGAAGCTAACTTGCCTGCAATAATAATAAAAAAAATACTGATGTTTAGCAGGTATTATATTTACCATGTTCACCATCTAAGCTTTGCGCATTTGTTAATTCGTACGAAGTGCAAAATACAGCTGAAGCTTGTTTAGCATATTAAAGTATTTTACAAATGTACACTTTGACCTATGATTACGAGTATCTCTTAGTGGAACATGTCTAAACCATCCTGTAATTGTTGATATATTTCACAAGAAACACTTTTATCAACTTTATGGTGGCACTAAATGGAAAGTCAACGAATCAAAAACGTCTTCTAGATTTATTCTCTAGGGATCATGATTTTCTGAACCAGTTTCGTGACAATCCAATAGTTGTTGGGATATTTCAGTCTGAAGTGATGGTCACACTGACAATATACAAAACATCAATGGTACACTGGAAATCACTCTATTCAATACAAATAGAATATTCTCAAAATGACAATAGATTGTTTAATAATCTCATGACCATTTACAACATAATATAAAAAAGACCTAGAGAATGCTTATTGCGTAAAATAAAGCAAACCACAGGACCCCTTATAGAACTCAAAATCATATTTTGTAATGAATACTAACACGAAGAATATCACACACAAGCTTTTACTCAACAAACTGATGTTACTACTAAAGCAGAGTCTGTCAAATGTCTCGTGTTAATTCCCGCAGCTTCTTTTCTAACACAATTAAGTATTTCAAAGACTTGATATTTGTGAGTGACCTCTGTGCTCCTCTGTATTCCTTTGCCCTCGTCACACGTCCTTGACAACTGAGGAAAATGCGCGTTAACCTCTCGAAGCCGGTCAGTGACACCGAGCGGCCCGGGGCAGGACTGTGGCACCTCTGATCCTTGAAGCCGGACAATTTGATTTGAAGGCGGAGTCATGGATCAGTGGTCAGCCAGTGGCTTGGCCTTTTCATCCCCTTTTTTTTCTTGGATCTGCAGATGGATGTGGGGGGGGGGGGTTGAGAAAACAGCCGAACCTGCCCAACACTAACAAACAAAGAAGGCTCTGCTGGGAATAAAGCAGAGTTTGGTTCCTCTGGGTAACGTTTGCTGTGAGATTGAATATTTAAGATGGTTTGCTGAAAGGAACAATTTCACACAACATGTGCTGTGGATATAACATCCCATTAGCTTCACATGGTGCGGAAATGTCTTTACATTAAGAGTGGCAGGGCCAGGCTGATAAATTATGACATCTGAGTCCACATATCTTCAATCTGCAGCAGAGGAATCAGATTAAGGCCTGAGGTAACGGTGGTCCAGGTCAGCTTGTGTGACTCCGCTCAGCTGTCACCTACACATAGGTATCCCCAAAATACTCCCCCCCCCCCCTTCAGGTTCACCCAGACAAATAAACACTGTCCTCAGTGAGGACAAAAGTAATTTTTGTAAGTCTCTTCATGGCAGCTTGGACGTAATGAACCAAGCTGGTGTTTACAAAGCAAATAAATAAGAGAGGACGGGGTTGAATCAAGGATGAAAATAAGAACAGTAAAAATATACAAAGGAGGGTGAGCTATTGAGAAAGTATTTCCTTAACAAGAGGGGAACAAATAATAAATTATGGGGCCCCTCTCCCTCGAGGCAGGACTGGCACGCCTGAGGGTTGAAGGAAGTGGGCATCCCTCTCTTTTTATAGGGGTCGTGGACAGGCTTCCTCTGTGGGAGCATCACAGAGTCCTGAGAGAAGACTCCTCTCAGGAATGTTTACTCACGCAAACACACACACAGCTCTTCACACACACAGCTGAAACGCCATGCTGGATGAAGATGGTGGTAGTGTGACTGCATAACCCCCGGGTCCCCCATCATGTCATCGCTGTAGTTTCTGCTCTCCTCATATCAGCAGTCCCACTTGGCCTGTATAACTGAGACACTGCTGACAGCCGTGACCTTACATTTACCCCAAACTCCCCCTTGTGTCTGTCCCAAAGCAGGTGGCAAACACCCCCAGACCCCACGCTATCGTTCTTGGTCCAACATGCAATATGACATTTTGATACCTTTATTTCTTGGCAAACACTTCTCATTTTTGGATGAGGAGATAAACCAAAGCAGCTTTTTTTTTTTATCTCCCTAAACTCCTCACACAGTGGGTTAGTCACAGAAGAAGTTGATAAAAAGTTTCCCTTTTGTCCCAAATGTTCAATTAATCAACTTCACAAGACGTGCTGGTTGGAAGCAGATAAAAGTCTGGGCTGCAGGGAACACGGGAGAAAAAGAGACGGGATTTGTATTCTGCTGCAGTGGCTCTCATACCCATTAAAGGATGTTAGCATCTTTTTAAGCAGAGTGACTTTATTGTCAGCTCAGGGCTTACACCGACCCGACCATTTGCTGTATTGGATTCTTGGCAGATGGCCTGCGTGGATCTTGGCCACCCTTGAATTTAGTTCTCATGTTAAGCTTCACTTGTCAGTAAATGGGCTGCACCCTGCACTTACCCTACAAACAGGAACTCGTGTCTTGTAGTGTTGTAATGGTTTCTTATCAGTGAGAAAAAATTCATATCACATGCAAGAAGCCCTCCCACCTACTGTAGCACTTAACCTGATTATTTTTCTGGGATTTCTGCATTGATAAATGGATTACTACAGTCAGTGTATATAAATACACTATAAGGATGTGTTTGATTGAATTATATTGAATAGTTATGATCTCTTGTACAGTTTACAATCAATATTTTTTTTGTAATCTACCCTACCTTTTAGTGTAGAGTTATTAATACTCAAACCCCATTTAAAAAAATAAAAAATAAAAAGTTTTCTAATCCTTTAAGTTAGGATACTTGTCATATCATTTCAAGAAAAAGGTAGATACATTGGTAACCTCTCGCTGTCTTTAAGCTCCTTCTGCAGATGTCTTGGTAAATGTTTTAGTAAACCGTTGACTATATACACATCTTGAAGACCCAGAGTGACATTATTCCTGAGTCTTGTTTCTGGCAACCTGATGAATTGCAGTCCAATATTCAGCAATATTAGCTCTTTTTTGTTCTCCACCAACTCCAGAAAACGATACATGGCTATTTAGCAGCTTAATGCTCCACTATGTTGCAGAGCTGCTAACTAAAGGTGCTTTTATGCTCCTCTTGTATTGCTCCAACAATTTGCCAAAAAGTGTTCATGCTTGGTTGAGGTGTAAAGTTTGTGTATGCGAAAAAAGTGCAATGGAAGCAAATAAATGAAGACGTACGTAACATATTTAACTTCAACATCCAATGAATCTTCTGCTGTGCTTAAAAGACAAAAACATATCAGACAGATTCAATTATTAACTTAACTTCCTACATTAACATAATGATTAATGGCTAAGACATTTCTTCCATATTTTCCTTGAAATTCAGTTTAACATTTGACAATCATTTGGATGAAAACCTGGTTTTCCTCAGTCTGTCGTTTGATGCCGAGCAGGAAGTGTAAAGTTTGTTTTTTGCTGAACACAGCTGCCAAACAATGAGCTGAAAACTCTAAAACATTTCACAGAGCTGAGGTTAATTAAAATGTGTTTTTGTTACTACAAGCAACACCTTTAAAATTACACATTGTTTGATCCATTGTTTACATAAAACAAATGTTGGTTAATGCAGATTAAAATCAATAAGAAGGTCATGTTCTGCTTGGTATAATTCAGCGTCAATGAACAGATGTATTCCTGTTACAACCCATTGACTTATTTCAGCCCCAATTCCTCTTCCTG